AGGAGAGAGAGAGAGAGAGACTTTCATGGTTTAAATCCCTATGACCACGGGGTATATGCGATCGCTACAAATAAAAAGAGGGACCCGCATTCAAAGTCATGTCCATGGCTGGTCCCATTCACCCTCCATCTGAGGGTGACGATCCTGATGATAACATAACCCCTTCGGTCATGAGGATCAAAGTAACATCTCCCTTGTGGAATGTATTTAGTTTTTTTGTATTTTTTTAATTCTTAGTCAGCAGTTTATTGAATCTCTAAGCATGATTCTTTTAATGTCTGTACAAAAACATGCATGTCCCCTGGAAAAAAGACATTACAGATCTATACCACATCATTCTACATACATACACAAGAAAAATACAAGCATTCCATGGCATATAATTAATCCCCCTCTCAACATTACAGATCTATACCACATCATTCTACATACATACACAAAAGAAAAATACAAGCATGCCATGGCATATAATTAATCCCGCTCTTACTTACTGAGGGGTCAAAGGGCTTCCCAACTGTCTCAACAACAGCTACTTTCAAGCTTCTCATGATCTCGACAAACTGCTTGTATATTCCCTGATAACTTCCATCGATCTTCTTCTCCTTCTCTGTTTCAGGCTTAAGTTGCTGCTTGGCTCTCTCAAAGTTGTCCACCATTGGCAAGAGACTCTCAATTACATCCCCTTGAACATCAGATGTGAGTGTCAATCTATCCTTCTCCGACCTCTTCCTAAAGTTCTCAAAATCTGCTTTTAGCCAGAGGAATTTCTCCTTCCCTGAAGACAACTCAGCCGATAAACTTGTAATTTGTTGTTCCAAAGCATTCTTTTCCGTTTCTATGGCATAAAGTTTCGTTTCTATATCAGAAATCTTATGTAGGTCTCCCTCTACAATAGCCTCCTTATAAGCATGGAAAAGAGTAATCACAGGCTGGGGTTCCTCATTGACAGCTTCATTTTCTGATTCTTCCTCACTGATCTCACCATCTTCTTCTCCCTCTATTCTCTGAAATGGTGGCGTAAATAGAAGTCAAAGGTGATGAGTATGGCAATCGGCATATTGCATAGGAAGTGAGTGACAGACTAGGAAAAGTGCATTATCGCTATCCATGGACACTTTCTACACTGTTTGTCTGAGTGCATTCTCACAATTAATGGCATGCCACATGCATTTGCGTATTACCACATGGAATATGACCAAGGTTACAGGGTAATAAGATTAGCAAAATACCAAAATTGGAAAAAAAAATCGCCATAAATATTTTGAATCATACCAAGGTTACCACTGAGTACGCCACCCATCCCCAACAGAGCTAAGAAACAGGGGAGCTGCCATTAATTAAGATTAAGAAGCCACTTGGTAAAACTAATAATAATATTAATAGAAATAGTAGAAATACTAGTAGGAGCAGCACCACCACCACCAATAACACCACCAACACCAGCAACAGCACCAGTAGCAACAATAATACTAATAGTAGTCATAGTAATAGTAATAGTACTAAAAGACGCTCTCTGATGGATTGCCACAATGGTGAAGTTATCTGATGGAAACTTGATAGGAGTTGCTGTTAACAATTGTAGCACTACATCCCATATTCAATTCCCACATCTGACCTACCATATAAAAAAATAAAAAAAGGTAAATTCCATTTGCAGAGTACCGATTCTATTCAAAAACCAAGGAACACTTTATTCTGAAGAACCCCAAGTGCATAGATTTCCTAATGCAGCGCAAAGGTCAAGCCATTGATATCTTAGTTACTGGGAAACTCCTAGGGAACAACTGGACAAGGGCGAGAGGGGAAGGGCATTTTAAGGGATTTCCGAGGGGAATCCCAATGAATCACCATGGATGCATTAACTCTGTGGGCGAGAGACACCCACTGCAAGGTTCCTGCAACTATGGCAAGTATAGGTAACCTCAAAAGTTATCACCATTTCTTTCCTTGATACGAACACACATCCTCAACAGGAGCCAAGTCTTTCATACATATTTTATAGTTAGAATAGAAGAGATGTTTGCTAATTATTAGTTAATAGAAAATAAACTATCTACAGGGATAACTGAAAGCATATTCTCCGATAGAATTTGAACAAATTTGGTTAAAATTTTAGTCTTCACTTCTTTTCTTTTTTTTTTGATATGTTAACAGTAGGAATGGAAGTTGGGACATTGTGTTGAGGCATTTGCACCCCTAACTATCGATGCCCCAGCCCCATACCCAAGAAGTTCTTCATTTCTTCTCCACTACCTATGCTCAATCTCCAAGAAAAATCAACAATTCCATTAGAATGAACAGGGTAGAATTTGCTGAGGCCAAATTGTCACTGGGAAATTCTCAAAGGACAATAAAAATTAAATACAGCCTCTGTCAGAACAATGTATAAATTGGCTACTACTACTCATGAAAGCAAGGGCATCACCATTCAAAATTCGCTTTCAATGATGAGATTAAAGCCTTAAATAAAGTCAGTCCAATGAGTGCTTAATGATTGTTCACCAAGGCCATAAGGCACATATGACATTCAAATGCTTAGAGATCACTTCCATACAATGATCTTGAATGGATCTCAATAGATCTATGCCACATAATGTTGAAATCCATCCAAAGGGCAAATATTACTTTCATCAAATAGTGGTCATCAGAGCAATGATCCAACTCATGTGATGTCCCTCACAACTGCCTTGGTTTACCACTTACAAACACCATGTCGTCTTACATGCAAACAACAAATTGGGGGTTTTGAGAGTATATAGTCATAATCTAAGTTGTTTACAGTTCGCCAAACTGCAGTATCCTCAATTCTTACATAAACCGAATCTAATGTCATCTAGACTCTTTTGACAGTGCGTCACAAAATTCTCCCAAAAGAATCATATAGTAAAATATATTATATTTTAACTTCCTTTTAATTTAGCCTTCAGTTTTCTTTGTTAAACCCTAACAAAGAGAACGAGCTACTAACCCATGCCCTAATTCCAAAACCCCAATACCTCCAACCCCTTACTTGGGAGTTCCTCACCGTATTCGTCATTGGATCCATACTAGTACCTCATCTAATAACCATAACTTATAAACAACTACACAATAAGAAATGCCATAGTAATCAATTAGAAGAATATGCCTTCTTGACATATTTAAAGTTTAAAGTCTTATATTCTCCCAAAAGAAGTTTTTTGTTCTCACTCGTTCCCCTCCCGGGTGCAAAAGGCAACATACTTTGATATAAAGATGTATATGTATAAAGGTGTGTATGTTATTAATATTTAACTTGGCAAAATTGGATCCTAAATAAAAGAGTAGTCTGCTAGTGTGAGCACCAAGGTCAATCTATCGACCTTTTTCTGACTAGGGTATCAACAGCCTCATTTGACTCTCTCCAAATGTGTTTAAATGTCCATATCATTAAGAAACAAGATAGTAGACTGCTTAATGACACAAGAAGAGATCATCAATTTTTTTCTTTAAATTTTCTTGCTAGTCCACTCAAAAACCCTTGGCACCATTGTGCCCTCAAGATAAGATTTGACCCCAATAGGGCAGAATTTTCTGTATGGTAGATAATCAGCTCCAATCTGAAATTCTCCAATTCTATCTATATATTTTCTAACTTCTATGCTGAAACATCTAAGTCATGGGAATAGAGTTTAATTTTGCCTAGGTCACTATTATCATCACCTATTAGCAGGGAAGACAGGTGATGTAACAGCTCTAATAAAACATTAGGAATTCTTAAATTCGACTATGACATCAAGAACTGATTTTAGTTCAGAACCGATTGAGTTTACACAGTTATGGATGTTTTACAATTTTTATGCAAAACGAAATGACTTGCTGATTGAGGAGTGAAATTTAGATAAATGTTAATGATTAGGAGGTCAAATTTAGACTTGTGACAATTAATTGGCATGTCTAGGTTTTATATGCATTCTTTCCTTACACTTCTGCATCGGTCTAAGATATTGGAGGGCCTAAGACACAATACTTGTGCCTAAACTCAATACCAACACAGCCATTCATGCCTAAGTATACAAACCACACTTTATACCCATCAATACTTTGGCAAGCTCTCAATATGAGCAAGTGTGATAGGGATGGAACAGATACTGGTCAACCAGTCTTTCGATCAAACCAGCTACTAACTCTATTCTAGGCTTCTAACATTAGAGAGTAGCACGGGTTGAAGACTTGAAGTTGTGGCAGCCCTACAACTAAGAAAGGCTTGAAGAGGGGCCAACCACGTATGTTGCAGCCATGTTGGAGGAAGAGAAGGGAGGGCAGGCGAACCAGTCCATCCCTCACGAAATAGAGAAAGTACTCAAAGAGTATGGGGACGTAATGCCCTAAGAATTGCCCAAGGTCTTACCCCCAACCAACGAGTTAGAGCTAGAGAGTGCAGCTGTGAAACAGGCCCCGGAGTGCATCACCATATAGGATGGCCCCTACTGAGTTAGCGGAGCTTGGGAGACAACTCAAAGAGTTGATGGAAGCCGGATACATACAAGCCTCTAAGGCACTTTATGAAGTCCCCCGTGTTGTTCAGAATAGGCAGAGCCTTCGCCTATAGAGTCCTAAATTCAATAAGGTGACCATCAAGAACAACCTACACCCTTTATTGTAAAATTGTTCGATCAATTAGGGAACGCAAGATACTTCTCAAAGCTGGACTTACGGTCTAGCTTGTGTAGCCAATGAGCAAAGCCCCAAGCAAGTGCTTTGAGTGCTACGCTAGCACTGGCAACTATCAAGTGCACATTACGGAAGGATATGAGTCTAAAACTATGTGTGTAAGGCGATATGGTGCATTTGAGTTCTTACTGATGCCTTTTGGGCTAACCAATGCCCCTGCCACATTCTGCACCCTCATTCATTAGTTCGTCCACCCATACGACGAGTGTAGTAGTATACCTTGATGACATCATGGTCTATAGCCAAAAACCTTAAAAGACCTTGCCACCTCCAAACCATCTTTGAAGTATAAACAAAGAATCACCTCTATGTGAAGAAAGAAAAGTGCTCCTTCGGCCAGACACTTGTTCTTAGGGCGGCGGAGGACTCATACAAATGGATAAGAAGAATGTGAGAACCATTGAGGAGTGGCAAGCACCTACTAAAGTAAGTGCGTTGAGGTCTTTTTTAGGCCTTGTAAACGAGGTTCATCACCAGCTATTCCAAAAGGGAAGCTCCACTCACTGATCCCTTGAAGAAGGACCGAGCAGGTCAGAAGAGTGCCAAGAGCTTTTGAAAACTTAAAGCAAGCAGTGGCGGGGTATTACGACTACCTGATCAGACCAAGCTAAGGTACATACACATGCCTTGGACTATTATTGTCTCAGTATGATGATGCAGAGATAACTCTCCCTTAGGAGCCACAGTAATATAATCGAAATTGATTGAAAAATGAGTGTCCTCATATCCCACCATGCTTCGAGTAGGCACCATCTCTGATGTGAGAAGACGATATTTGCCTTGTAGGCCCACAACAAGGGGCACATAGAGTGCGGCACTAGTGCAGGGTAAATAGCTTGTAAACTCCGCTCTGTCACGGATAGAGCAGCGACTTCTATCGAGAGTGGAGGTATAGTATATGTCAAGAAAAGCTTCCAAGTACCTTTGGCAATGTAATATGGAGCCCGTTAGATTGTAGGAATCCATATCCATTCTGGAATGATAAGGACAGGAAGAATAGAACTCCGAAGTTGCTGCCTCGGGTGGATATAAATTGTGGAGAGTCCAGGCATTCTGAAAGAAATCTGGCACAGTCAGTCAGTTAGGTTGTTGCAAATCACAATATACTAAGAGACCCAGATATTGCCGATGTCCATCTTCCAAATTGTTGCAGGCTTCTGTTAGCAAAAGGAAATGGCTGGTAATCCAATGTCAAGTTTGCTTCTGCTGGTTTGCCCAACACCCTACGAAAGGTAAAACCTACAAGCTTTTGAAGAAGACTTCTTCTGCCAATGCCGCGATATTTGTACAAAGGGTAAAACCTACGAGCTTCTGACGAAGACTTCTTCTGCCAATGCTGCGATAGCTGCTAACTGCACAACAGCAATTCAAGCAGTCGACATAACTTGCTTCCTTGAGATCGATCGTCTCACAGTTTGGTTTAGTCTAGGGCAAACATTGACAATGGGATTTTGAAACTTTACGAGCTCTCTGAACTCCTCGAAAGAAGATAAGCCAACTCTTTTGAATTGTCTGGGCCTAGCCTTCTCAGAACATTGCATCCGCTCCCTCTCCTTAATATGGCATTCCCGCCATTCATTAGTTTCAAACTCCTCAATCTTTACGAGTCCGCAGACAATACAGGAATTGGGCCGTTAGAAAAGTGATAGGGAAGAAAAGCACAAGTGCTCAAGTTCGCAGTGTTGAGCAAAAAACAAGCATTGAGTCAAGTCGAACTAGCATGTCAGAAACCCAAGGCTTAGCAACCTTCTTGAGGTATAGGTAGCTTGTCAAGAGCAACCTTGCTCGACAATTGATTCCCTTGCCTTATTATGTGCAGGGCTAAAACATGATCGGTCCCTCCAAAGTTGCTCCCTTGGGGTGAGAGCTCTCAAAGCACAGATAAAACACTTTATAGCAGGTGTTAGAACGCTCTCACCTTTCCTTTAGGTAAGGGTAGTGAAGTTCCCCTGGGTTTGCAGCAGTTTTCCAAAGTGATGATCGAGTTGGCTGAGATAATGCCAACTCACTTTGGTCCTCTATTGCAGGAAGGCCATATTAGCCATAAGAAAGAGGGGGCAAGAAAGGTTTGCTTGCGATTTCCAATCCTATTAAAGAGGGAATGGTTAAACCTATCCATGATTGGTTGATGAAAGTGTTACGGTTGTTACCAACTAATAGTACCTTTGATCAATCTAACCCGCCTGGCAAAGCAGGTCTTAAATAATTGTATTCGTTTGATTTTAAGTCAGCCACAGACTCTTTATTATCTAGCCTCACCGAGGCCGAGAAGCATCTTTGGCTCATAACTCATGCATGGATGGTACACACTCTTAAAACTGACTATTATATAGTACCCTTACCCTTGGTTGAAAACATCAACCATCGGTTATGTATAAAATTAGATTCAAGCCCTCTTTGTTTCTATGGTGCCTAGGCTGCGTTTCGAATAACACATCATATGTTAGTATGGATTGCAACCGAGCTCGTATATCCAAAGCAAAGGTTTCTGAAGTACGCAATTCTCTGTGATGACATTGTAATCGGGAATAGGCAAGCACGTTGCACAACTCTACCTAGAAGCCATTGAGGAGCCTTAGATGACCTTATTAGAAGAAAAGTCTCTTATATCCCGTGGATGCCTAGAGTTAGCAAAGCACTTTATGGAAAGGTCGGGTCAACATTAGTCCTGTATCAGTCCCGATGGTTAGGGCTCTGATAAATAGTATTGCAGCTGCAGCATACGATCTGATCGTATGCCCCTTTCCTTGACTTATCAACTATGAGGCGAACGAAACTTTATCCCCAAGGTAGGTCAATCATGGAAATCTCACTAGAAGCTCACATGTAAGAAGAACCTGCGTGGGAAAGAACCGGTCCGATCGGACTCCAGCTTTAAAACCCGGTCCAAAACACCAAGATCTGCACCTTTCATAATTGTCACCCATCCAATAGGATTGGCCGGACCAGGCACATAAAGCATAGCAGATTCAACTGATTCCCCGTCTTCTGCTTAAATAAGAATTGCATTTTTCATAGAACTAGTCAGCAGACAAATTCAACAGTGACTTTTATCATTTCTATAATATATAAACAATGTGCCTCGTTCATTACAAGTAAAGGCTATTCACTTAAATCATGTATTTGCAACTGATGCAAAAGCACTCGCAAAGATTTAAATTGAAAGAAAAAAAATAATCGGACAATATGACTTGGTCAGAATCCATATTAGAATATATAAACAATGTGCCTCGTTCATTACAAGTTACAAGTAAAGGCTATTCACTTAAATCACGTATTTGGCACTGATGCAAAAACCACTAGCAAAGATTTAAATTGAAAAAAAAATAATAATAATAATAAGTGACTTGGTTAGAATCAATACTACCAATCAAAAAGACCCAATAAATCTGATACTATGAAAAGTAAAAAACAAGTTCTTTCTAAAGATTTCCTGTTTAGAAAATTATCAATAAACACAGTAAAATTAAGTACTTTATTCAAGTGAAAACAAGGTGTGCCCCTGAGGAATGGCCAAATAAATTTGCCAAATAATAACAATGAATGAGGAATCCAAATGATAATTTCTAAGAATTAAAACTGAATTGAGATTATCACCTAGTGAGTCTTTGCCGCACTAGAAAATTCATCACAAACAATGCAAGAACGAAAACTAAGATAATTATCAACTTTCTGATCTCCCCAAGACCCCGAAAACACAACAAACTACCAAAAATAGAACGAAAATTCAAAGGATTTCAATCCCACAAGACAATGAAATTTGAACCAAAGGAAAAAGAAATCCTTCAGAAAATTAAACTGAAAAGACTATAAAAAGTGCTCAAGAGACCAACTGAGGCATCTCTCAAATTAATCCCAATATATGGTCAAAGGGCAAATGCAGGTAAAAGTTCGAAACAAATCCAAAACAATGAAACGAATAGAGAGAGTGAATTTTAATGAAGAGGGGAGAATACCTTAGAATGAGTATCTGCTACTTTAACAGCAGCTGTGAAAGAAGACCTAGAGCCTGTTGGGGATGTAATGGAGAGCCTTAGCATTGGATTTCTTGTGGAATACTGGAACCTCAAGAGAGAGAGTGGGTTTGAGATTGAGGGTTTAAAGGGCGCAAAATTTGAAGAAGGGCGAAGGTTGGGAAGAGCGTGAGTGGAGAACGCAACCGCCATTAATGACGCACACCCCCAAAACCTCTCTCTCTCTCTCTCTAAATCTGGAAGTTCGAGATGCCCAGAGAAGAACCGAGATACCCTGAGGAAAGAGTTAAGGGGTTTACTGAAAAGAAAGGGTAACCCGTTAAACACAGGTTACTCAACACGTGTCCCGAGAAATTACATCATCTGACGTACTACAGGTGTGTAAGGATCCTACAAGGTCATTTCCCCGGAGCTTTTCTCAATAAATTTTATTACGGTCCAAGGTCATTTCCCCGGAGCTTTTCTCAATAAATTTTATTACGGTCCCCCAAATAAAATTTGGTGTCGAAATAGTTTATAGAAAAAAAAAAATTAAAAATAAAATATTATGATTGGAATAATCTTAGCCCTCCATTAAAAAATGAACGATTGGATAAAAAAAAGATAAAACTTCTATGTTATGCAAGAAACATAGAAAACTTTCCCTTTTTTGAAAAAAGTATATATAAGGTTGCAATCTTAAAATGTGGAATTACATATGTGTTTCAAAAATCCATCGAAAAGTATTTTTTTCATGTTGAAAAACATTTTAATTGATCATCTCGATATCGACATTAATGAATATGAAAAAAAAAAAATTTAGTCCAAAAAATAGTGCATCTTGCAACATATTATCTAGACGCTCCAGTTTCAATATTTTTATATGATCATAGATCTATTTGATTTTAGCTATTTTTTGAAGTTTAAAATTTTATAATTTGATATGAAAATAGATTTTTAGATAATCCTAAGAATGTTTTACTCCAAAATTACATATTATGATAAAATTTGGAGGTGCACCTTATTTGGATTGTATAATGTGATTTTAGAGTGCAAGATCGAGGTTATTGAGGAACCCTTCCTGTACCTTTTTTTTAAAAAAATAATCATGTCGTGATATTTGGATCTTAAGATTTAAAATGAAAAAGAAAAAAAAAATCTTCTAAAGTAGCACTTTTACACGACGGAATTATCGTGCCATATGCTCGGGTCATGGAATTGACTTGGAATCGCTTGAGTCGGATTGAAAATAGATGGGTGGGTGATGGTGCCTAACTCTATTTTATTTTCTATTGAAATATGTATAATCATACGACTACAACGCTAACCTGACGACTTAAATTCCGCTCTGATTTTTGAAACCCTACTTTAAATTACGTTTTTTTTTTTGACAAGATCACAATGACTTTATTACTCAATCAAACCAACGATTACAGTAAAAATGATAAACACAATAATTAAAAGGATAAGGAATTGAGCACCAAAGATGGGGCCAACACTCCATCCTTAACAAGCGAGTCAGCCCTTACATTCGCTTCCCTAAAAACATGATTGAAAGCCACAACCTTATTTCGACAAATATCCAAAGCTTCCAACCAAAATCATCTCAAGCTCCAAGGTGGCTTACTAGATCTGGACATCCAATTGATAACATTAAGAGAATCCCCTTCCACCAGCCATGCAGATTGATCACAATGATCCTTCAACAACTTTAAACCTTGAAGCATAGCTAACATTTCAATTTGGTTTGTTGTAGTTATCCCACACGGGCCACAAAAAATGATTATCTCTACACCCTAATAATCTCTAACCACACCCCCAAAACCAGCACGTCCTGGGTTTTTCAAAGAACTGCCATCAAAATTCAACTTAAAACATCCACGATAGGGTGGGGTCCATTGACATCAAATACTGCGTCTAGAACTTCGTTGGTGTAACAAACTCCTCACATTCAGTCGAACATCAATATTTAAAATCCCGAAACCTTCTTTCATAAAAGAAAACCACAACCAAACATTTTGAAAAATCTTATAGTTTACACAATCTAACTCCCAACTAAAGCCCTCAAAAATTTGCCTATTTCTCTCCAACCACACTTCCCAAAGGATTGAAGCTCTAAAAATCTGTCATATCATAACCCCCTTTTTAAGCAAAGAAGGAATTGAGAGTTGATCTATCATATCAAATGATGTGCCAGTAAAGGCATTTGAAAACCAATAACTTGAAAGGCCCAGATCCACACTGGCAATGAATGAACAAATGATCTCCAGTCTCCTCATCATTTTTATACAACAAGTAAATATTGACGATTATTATCCCCCTCTTCCTCAAATTGTCAACTGTTAGCACTTTATTTTGGGAGAGAGTCCATAAAAGATTTGAATCTTATGTGGAATATGTCATTTCCAAATGAAACTGAGCTTTGGTTGTTCCCATCTTAATCTATCATGAAATAATATATGATATACAGACTTCACTGAGAACATACCATCTACAGTTAACTCCCACGCTACCTCATCCTCATGATGCCTGGATATGTAAATCGTATCAAGATCTAGCAACATATCACAGCACTGATTAAGAACAATATCTGGCACCCTATTATAGCTCAATCGAATATCCTTGATTTAAATTAAGTTGAGAAGTTTTGCATTGTAGCATAGAAATTCAGCACCTAATAAAATCGGTCATGCACATTGAGTTGCATGATCACGAGAGATGGAGCTTGAATCATCTATAATGAGAGAGAGAGTCTTTATGAACTTAGGGTATGTTTGGTTTGCATGAAAATATTTTCTGAGAAATATTTTTACGTGAAAAAATTTCTATATGTGGTTAAGTATGGAGATATTTTCACAACAATTGGTCCTAGTGCATCTTTTCACAACAATTCACAACTAATTCATATAAAAATATTCTCACACCTAACCATATGAAAAAATATTTTCATGTGAAAACATCTCCCAAAAAATATTTTCGTACAAACCAAACGTGCCCTTAAACTATTCACAACATTCAAAAAAGAGAAGTTCACATAAAACCAAAAAACATCATGGTATATTTTTTGGGAAAGCAGCGGTCTTATCTTCTCTCAAATTTTATTTTCCTATTTTGTCCACAATTTGAAAGTCTAGTCCTCGTTCTGCCAAAAGTACAAAAAAAAACAAAGGGAAAAGTTTATATAAGGTTGCAACCTTAAAATGTAGAATTATGGTGCACCTCAAAAATCCATCAGTGAAGGTTGTTTAATATTGAAAAATCCTTCATCTCAACATCGAGATGTATGACCATGAAAAAAAAGGGGATTTTGGGTCCCAGAAATGGTGCATCTTACAACATATTATCTAGACTGACCATTTTCAAGAGTTTTATATGTTTATAGATCTACTTGATTTTAATCATTTTTGGAGTTTAAATTTTATAATTAGACTTGAAAATAGATTTTGAGATAATATTAAGAATATTTTACATCAAACTTAAATGTTATGATAAAATTTGAAGGTGTGCCTTAAATGGATTGTTTAAGGTTGTAATCTTATAGAAACCACACCCAAAAACAAAATGATAACTTTTAAGTTGTTTGAAAGTCCAACTTTTAATCCATTTGAAACATGTGCTTGGCATTTTGAAAGTCCCACATTTGAATATGTATGTATGTATTTGTATATGTATCTATGTGTGTATGTATGCATATGTGTATATATTATTCCCTTAATGTACTCAACATTTTTAGGCTCTCATTGCCCTTTGTTTTATAATACAATTTTTTTATTATGGGTATTTTTTGCTATTAGGAATGATAGAATCGATATTTCTATAAAAAACTTGTGGCATTAGACTAGCATCCAAGAAACAATCAAAGTTGCAGATAGATTATGTCACACCTCATGTAGATAATGTCATCCTCTAACATATTTTATAACTTTTTGCTCACTTCTGGTGTCTTTGAAGAAAAAGAAAGAAGGGGGTCGATTTAGGCTCCTTCCCTTCCACAGCATAGCAACGCCAAGTACTATGAGCCCTCTGTCCCACGCATCTAACCACCTCGTGCCCTCTGTCCCACGCATCTAACCACCTCGTGCCCTCTGTCCCACGCATCTAATCACCTCGTGCCCTCTGTACCACCGAAAAGAGGGCAAAAAAGAGTTTGAAATACAACTAAAAGAGTTATTTGATAAGAGATTAACAAGACCTACTAATAGTCCACATAGCTCTCCTACTCTTTAGTTGGAAACCATGCACAAATAAAAAGAGGAAATACTACAATGGTATTAAATTA